GTGCCAGTTTCTAGGTGGGGAGAGAGATGTCAGTGGGGAGATTTTCTTGGACGCTGGAGGATGCGGTTGTGTCAGGTGGGGGGGTGGGGGGGTTTCAAGCTTTGCCTGGGCACCCCTCCCTCCCTGTTCCCAGATGGCACCAGGGCTCCCTGCCTCTATGTGGAGGGATTTGCCCCTCTGCCCCCCCTCCGCCTGTCACCCTTCAGGACCCACACAGGCCTTTTGCTTCCCCCATCTCAGATTCTGGTCCCTAAAATGCCAGGGGCAGCACCCACCCTAAACCATGAAAAAGGCTCTGGATGACACCCCCCCGACAGCCCAGGTGGCACTGGCCTCTATGATGATGATGATGATGATGGATCCTTGCCTTCTGCCACAAGACCTACACAGAACAGGTTGTTCCAAGCACCTGAGAACATGGGACACCTTTTTTTGGCAACCTGCAAAAGCAGCCAAAGCTATTTTCAAAGCAGCCCGACTCGGAACGCCCTAACCAGGATCGGGGCCACGACCCTTAAAACTCACCCTGTTTAGCAGAGGCCACAGTTTTCCTCAGCAACCGCCGTGGGGCTCAGGGTGGCCCCCAACTGGGCTCCCAGAAGAGGGTGCCCCATGAACGGGCTGCCCCCCATTGGAGAAGTCCCACATTCATGTCTCCTCATGAGCAGGGGCATGGCAGACGCCGCCCCCCCCTCACTGCCAGTCCCCAAGGAGGATGACTGGTGAATGCTTGAGGGGAGAGGAAGCAGAGAAGGGGGCGCCCCATCCAGAGACCCACCGGCCTTCCCTTTGACTTCTAGGGGTGTCTGTCTTCCTCCTGAGGGTCCAGCCAGCATCCATTCGGGGGCGCCACGCCCTGTTCTTCCATGTGACACGCTCTGTTTTTAGCTGTGGCCTTTCGTCTTGCTCTTCATGCTCTGGCAAAGACAGGTGCAACTGGCTTACTGGTTGAACTGGTCCTGGGATGAACGGCACAGCCACTGGATAAGTTACTATTCAGAGACTGTTTTTTTCCCCTGCTGAGAAGCACCACAGTGCAATAAATAAAAATATGAGCTGTTTCTTCCCCCATAGCGTGCAACGCCAAAAGCATTCGGGGACGCTCAAGCCAGCTCTTCCGCAGGGTACGGAGGATGCTGACATAAGTGCGAAGCAGCTTCTTCTTCTCTGCCCCAGCAAATGACGGTGTTGGTGCAAAGCGCCCCCCCCCCAATTCTCTTAGGTTCCCGTCACGCAAAGACAGGTGCAACCGGCTTACTGGTTGAACTGGTGCTGGGATGAACCAGTAAGCCATTGGATAAGTTACTATTTAGAGACTCTTTTTTTCCTGCTGAGAACCACCACAGCACAATAAATAAAAATATGAGCTGTTTCTTCCCCCATAGCGTGCAACGCCAAAAGCATTTGGGGACGCTCAAGCCAGCTCTTCCGCGGGGTATGGCAGATGCTGACATAGGTGTGAAGCAGCTTCTTCTTCTCTGCACCAGCAAATGACGGTGTTGGTGCAAAACGCCCCCCCCCAATTCTCTTAGGTTCCCGTCAGCCCTGCCAACTCCCCTCCGTGGCCTATTGCCAAGTATCCCAGTCCTTTGTGTATTTTGGGGCTAGATTTCTCTGCAGTCCCGTCCATTTCAAGGGGCAAGTAGGATTCTCTGGAAAAGACCGTCATGCTGGAAATGGTGGAAGGCAGCAGGAAAACAGGGAGGTCAAATACAAGATGGACGGACTCAATAAAGGAAGCCACAGGCTTGAGTTTGCAAGATCTGAGATGGGGGTGTCTGTTAACGAAGGGGCCTTTTTGGAGGTCACAAACTCCTAGGGTCACCATAACTCAGAAGTGATGGCATCTGATGGCCGTCCCTAACCCTTGCCATTGCCTTGAACCCCTTTTAAGACCCGCCTGAAGAGGTGGCACATCCCTCTGTCCTCCAGGTCCTAGGATTCTGCAGAAGGCAAAAGGGGATTTGCATTGTCCAGAAGCCCGTTAAAAGGCCTAACGTTCGGCTTGTCACCCAATCAAGAGTGTCCCCAAAGTTCTCCAGCCTTCACCGTCTTCGAGTGGTGCGGACCGCTAGCCTTTACCCATATAACTCAGGGGATTTATTTCCCCTGGAATTATACGTTTATGGACCATGTCTTAAACTTCTCCCCTTGGGTAAATGAACTTGGAGGGTCTCATCTCTTTCCCAAACTAGTGCCATATTTTGCTTCTAGGTATATAAAGCCTGGATATGTCCCCTTCCCCCAGTAAAAGCTGGGATTCTGGGCCAGTTAATGGTCTAAATGGCTAGTGAGTGGCATGGCTAGATTCTGGAGTAAAACCTAACTTCTGAGACCTGGCTAAAATCTCAGAATTATCTAAGAATTGTCTTAGATAAATTATTGCCACTCAGGGTCCTTTTTTTGGTTATTATTTCTATTCTTGTTAATGATTGATTGTTTTATAGTTAAGCCTACCCACTGGATTAATGTCCAGGGTTAAATATGCAGATGGGCCTTAAATTTTAGAATGTGTAATTTTATTCGAAGTTTAATTTCTTTAATTTTGTATTGTGTTGTGTTGATTGTCTATTGTGTATTCTGCAAAGGCTGGCGTGCTATACAATCAACTGCGCTGAACGGATGTATTGACTCAGAATCAGGCCATTGGTGCTATAGGTTCTGCTTGAGTCGGCCTGAGGTGGGTAAGGATGGTTCTTCTGCAAACTGCCAGATTTTTTAAAATTGCCTAATATTTAGTTTAAAACTTATCAGGCAAAGCCGCAACTTTTCAGATGAGTTTGGGTGAGCCAGACTGAAAGTTGGAAGGACCTTGAAGAAGGAATTGTCGGGGTTTACTTAAAAGTCCTTCTTGGAGAAAAAAAACACACAAAGAAAAATTGAAAAAGTCAATGGGGACAAAAATGACTATAAAATTTGACAGAGAAAAAAAAGCAAAAGAAAAGAAAAAAAAAGTTCTTAAAACAGAATTTGCACTGAACTCACCCCTTAAAAAAACAGCAGCCAACAAATCCCACGATCCCCTTCACGCCACTGCAGAGGTCCCACACGTACCCCCTTGCCAAGGAACTCATTTTCTCAGGAGAGGCAGCACAGATTGTGTGTGTGTGTGTGTGTGTGTGTGTGATTTTTTGGGGCAGGGGAGCCACTCCAAAAGACCTTTCTTTTAATTAATCAAGGTACTTGACTTGGGTGTCGGGGAGGAGGTGGGGTGGGTGATGGGCTTTCTGCATGAGTGGGCAGGCAGAAAAATTGCCCGGAGGGGGTGTACAGAGCGAGCCTCCCCCCCTCTCTTGCTATCCTTTTCATTAAAAGCACCAAATAGTTGTTAATTAAGACAATAGAGCGACCGAGACCCCTCGCCATGAATGGGCTGTCTAGACGCCGGAGCCCGGCTGCACGTCCTCTGTCAGAATTTTAACACAGCATGGCTGGACTGCACAGGGCCCCCCCTTGCAAAAAAAGAGAGAGGCTCGCCACCCCCTCCCTCCCTCCCTCGGCCGCGAGTCTATTTCTTTTTATCTTTAAACAATTGTGCACTTGTGAATAAGGCCACTGGGGCCCGGGAGGGTGGGTGCGTGTCTGGAGCGAGGCCCTGTGGGCTCTGCCTCCAGAGTCCTCCTTCCCACAGCTTCACATTAGGGGTGGCTGTGTTTTGTTTTGTTTTTAAAAAATTAAAATGAAAGAAAAGCTCTTTAAAAAAAAAAACCTCCCTCAAGTGTTTTCTTTGCTACCCGAGGTGTGGCGGCAAAGATAACAAGCCCTGATTCCCAATCTCTGTCCCCTTCCCTCCTTGGATGGAGAGACTTGAGAAAATCAAGGACTGGAGGATTTGAAACACAGGGACTGAGAAAAATGCTTGCGTGGAGGTGAAAACAAATCTGGATGTTTAAAAAAAATGCATCGGCATGGACCCACCGA